CCATCTGTACCCAGAGACACAATAAGGATATGGGCTAATTTACAAAAAGGCGTGAATGAGTTAAAATGTAAAATACGCACAATTAATTAACATTAGTACTTGATACAACTTTTGTTATGAAAGTATAAACGATTTGATTGTTCCGATCTTCGTTTTTTGATTACAAGTTTTGAAACAAAATATGAGCATATAATATATCTAATTAAGTAAGTTATTACTTATTTATTAAAGTCAATTGCATAAATAATTAACGAAATAATGTATTTTTGTGCCTTTATTTCATCAGAATGATGTTTGGTGAGCATTCTAAAATGCAGTTCAAAGAACAAACAAGAGCTGCAAGAGTAGAAAGAGCAAATGATCGTAAACGTGAGCAATCTGCTATCCTCGTTCAATCTTGGATCAGAGGATGGCTAGTTCGCAAACGCACTCGAAACTTAATCCTGTCAGTTTTGGCGTTTTCTCATTTTTATATAAAAATCATCAACTATCATGATTTATTTGGTTTTTTATATGTTTATATTTTATAGGCAACAATTTGATGAAACGTTTGAGAATATCAATGATTTGAAACCTGCTATTACTGTTTATTTATCTGTGAAAAAATTTTTGACTTATTGGGATGAAAAGAGAGATAGACAAAGATTTGAAAAACTCTGCAGGTTAGATACATATTTAACTTATATTAATTATTGGAGTTAACAATTTGACTGATTCCACTCATACACATTTTTATATTTATTTTACACATTTTACAGCTTCTATACAATAAATTATGTCTACAATATTACAATATGTATAATAGATCTTAAGACATTTTTAATTTCTTTCAAGTTCTAGTATAAGTTACATATATAAATATATAATATTCAGTGGCGAATTCTCCAGGCATGCTCAGGAATTAAGTAATTAATAAGAATACAAAAATGATGTTGTCATCAATATGATATTACGTATTAAAAAAATCATAATGTACGACATGAATGTCATCTATTTCTGTTATACTCTCTGTGTTTAACTTTATCGTAACCTTTATTAACAGAACATGCGAGAGCTGTGTGCTCAAGTTACACGATGCTTATTATTGGTGCGAAATACCGGTTATTTCCAGACCTAACCACCTAGAGCATGTTCAGTCAGTTGCACTTTGTCAATGAATTTTATAATATAATTTACGAGTACGAGTATTTGACAATTGTTCTTTATTTTGTTTTGCTATTTTTTAATATTGTGTTGTGTTTAGTACTATAATAAGTATATCATGGCTATCGTAGAAACTGAATGATGTTTTGATATTTGCCGGTTAAAATATGAGTTACATATTTTGTACAGTTCAGCAGAATTTAAAGTTAAACCAATTTTTGAAATAATCAAATACATAAATTCAAATAAATTAGACTTAGGGCTGAAAGAAGCATATAAACTAGCTAAATTAATTGCAACTATTCCAAGTACAACAGCATCAGCGAAAGAACATTTTCAGCACTCAAAAGAATTAAAACATATTGTAGGTCTGCTTAAATGTCAAGACTATCTTCTCTTGAAATATTATCAATTGAATAAAAAGTATTAGAAGATTTAAAAATGAGCCCTGATTTTACTCTAAAGTAGATGATAACAAAAAAGTTTGTTGAAAAAGAAAAAAGAATTGAGAAGAGTTAGTCAAATCTTAATTAAAATTATTAAATTAAATAAATAAATACAAATTAGTGTATAATTTATTAATTATAAATTAAATAAAACTATAATAAATTATGATAGATGAGCATGCAAATACATTAGAGTCAATATTCACCACTGATAATATTGTATTTAGGTTATGTAGCTTTATTAACTGAGCTATAGTTTAATAAATTTATTTTTTAACATTTTAGATATATAATTCTTAGTCTGGAATTTGATGCAATCAAACGTAGCTACATATCTGTAGCTTTGACTAGTGAGCATGCAGTTAACTGGATAAGTCATGTCAAAGAAATTCTGTCTATTTGCCTAATTTATCTTACTAAACTTCAGCCCAAATCATTAGAAGATTCTTCTTTTTTACACACCTTACTTCACATGGTTGTATCTTTTACATCAATATCAAGATGGTCTGCCATACATTCAAATATTTCTTTGCAAGGATTAAAACCTGGATTAGAGCGTTTAACAGAAAATTTGATTGCACATTTATTGAATAAAAATGTGTTTAACACTATGCAGGTATTCAAATTAAATGCATTTTAATTTGTGAATTTATTACCAAATTAATTTTTTTTCAGACATTGCTAATAACTGGTTTATCGGGCATTAAAATCTTATTAAAACCTGTAGCTATGACAGCTATAATGACTATTTGCTGGAGATGTTTAGTTTTGAGCAACTTTTCAACTAATATTTTAAAACTATTTGTAATAAAGATTTATTCTATACCTTTATTGGTAGAGCATTTGATATCTCTCTCGCCTAAAGTGAGTATTTTAGTATTTTATATAATTCTTTATTTTAATGCTAAAAACTAATGGTATTCTATAGTTTTAAAAGATCATAACATTGTATTCAATAATATATATTTTAGATTATTGAAACATTTAATTCTGTTAATCTACTTGAGAAGATAATGCAGTTATTAAATGATCAAAATCAATGTGATGAAATATTTCATTGTTTACATCCAAGTTGGTCTTTGTCATTAATTGCAAACATTGTGCATTTAGCTGAATTATGCGCAGAAACAGATAAATTTGAAAATAATTCTACATCTGTTTTTATTGTAAGTTTCAAACATTATTTTTTTATGAAACCAGTTCATGTGTATATCAATTCAATAATGTATTTAATAATTTAAATACATTTTCAAGTCCCAACCAACTATTATATATGGCAGGGGTGGCCATAACAAGGCTTGCGAGCCAGTTAAGTCAGTTGTATGTGGCTCTAAGTTATTTCTATAAATAAATAAATGTTCCTTCATTTGCTATGAAATTTAAAATGTGGCTTCATTTTATAATCCATTTTATAAACATATCTAAACAATGTGGTTTGCTTCATACATTGGCGGCTCCCAAAATTAAAATTAATGGGCTCAATGGCTCATTAAAGTAGCCAAGTAAATTATATTTTAATTAGTAAATCAATATGAAATCATATTTCTAAATATTTAAAAAATTGTCATTAATAAATTAACTGTTTAATATTAATTTTTACAAATAACAATGATTATGTGTTACCATTTAAAAATCAAAAGTTGGTTTTAATTAAACTTTCAAGTCATTAAGAAGCCGATAAAATTATTTAGAATAAAAACAAATTATAAAATGTTTTATTTCACAATAGTTTAAAAATTCCCAAAACATGCATGCAATAGTGTCCATTTAGAAATCAATTTATGTTTGAATTAGTAAATCCCTGTATAAATTATTTTTATAATGTTTATGTACCTACTTATTTTTGAGATTTTTATTTCCGAAATTGTAATATGTTATTTGTCTTATGCATTTTGAAAAAATAATTTTGAAATTTAGCTGCATAAATTTAAACATATTTTGGCAATGTCAACTGCATATTTCGATAATTTTTAGTGCAACAAGTCCTGAGCCCTAGTTATTACCAATTATATCAGACTGACCTATTATAAAATTAAAGTCAATAACATTGTTTATGTTTGTATGTTGCTATTTTAATTATAAATAGGTATCATAAATCAGAAAATTATTTTACCCAATTTAATTGAATACATTAATGTCAAGTGTCAACTATAGTTATATATGCCGTAACCATGTTACTAAAAATAGATTATAAATAAGAATTAATTAATGTCATAAAAGATACCTAATGTCCATCAATTATTTTAAAATAAAGTCATAATAATTTTTAGGTACTGATCTGACCCCCGCCTAGAAAGTATTCCCCTCCACTCAGGTTTGGTTAGTGCCACTTACTAAAATGTATACAAAAAGGTATGAAAACTATTTGTCGGTAATTCATTTTTTTTTGTTTTAGAACTACGGTATTTTCAGTATAATATATATATATTTCAGTGTTAATGACGACTGAATAACTGAGATAGGTACTCCATAATATTATATAGGTACGATACTTGCTGTTATACCTATTACCTACCTATCTTATATCATTAATTTTACTAACAGATTTTACCAAATATTATTCTTAAAATATAAGTGAATTTCACACAAATACCTGACGCAGATATATGCAGTATATAGAGATGTATGTGGCGGGCGTAAACTATTCTCGAGTGGCGGAGGAATACTTTCATAACGGGGTCAACTAGACCAGTACCAATTTAAATAAGTTGAGATAAATCAATAATTTTTTTTTCAGGTTGGCTTAACAACATTTTTGGATACTATTAGAGTAAATGTAGTGAAAAAACATTCAAATGTATCTTGCGTTTGGCATCCTGAACTTGGTTGGTTCACAGCAAATTCAAATTGTCAATGTTCTCCTAATATACCACCTTTGAAAAATCAATTAATTCCATTATGGTGTGGAACTTTATGTTCCAAGTTACTTCGGTGTCATCTAATTAATGCTTTAGCACAAATACCCGAAAATCAACAAGTACCATCACCTCCTCCTAAAACAAATAACCCTATAGCAATAATCAAGTAACTTTTTTACTATTAGAATAATTATAAAAAAATCTTAAATAAAAATTATTATTCCTAATAGAAAAGCATTTGATTTGAGACTATCCAGTACCAGTCAATCAAGTTATAAACTTACTGGAGTTCATGGTACAAAGGTAGTTGCTGCTTGCAACTTATATTTTACATGCCTTAAGACAATCACACAACTTAGACTGGACATAATAACTGGTAAACATATTGTTCAATAATTTTTTAAAAATTTAAATTAATAACTATTTTCTTATTTTAGGTTTATGAGGACACATTGTATTTATTATGGAGGTTTTTGGCATTTTTAGATTCTCATTGTGGTCTTAAGAACCTATTGGATATTTTAGAATGTGATAAAAATTGCAATTCAGGAGAATGTTACAACTATTCTGTGATAGTATGTCACATTACATAACGTAAGTTATTTGTTAGAACAATAATTGATTCATGAAATTAAGAACATTAATATTTATTATTTATTTTAGTATTCTTGATGATATAGAAATGTACGAGCAACAAAAACCATTTGTGATGCGTGACTACATTTTAATGTCTAGTTTTTTGAACATATTTCTTTATAAAGGAATATCTCAGAATTTATTTAGTGAGAAATTGTTTTTATTTTTATTTTTAACAAATGTGTATTTTATAAAAATGTATATTTTGTTGTTTTGGATATCTTAGATATTCAAGATATAACTTCTTCATCATATAGCTTGTTTCGATCTTGTCGCACTCTTTTAATGGTACTTTATCGCAGGGATTGTCGTAGATCATTTGCACCTGCAGGACACTGGCTGATTGGTGATCTTAAAACTTCTTCATTTTTTAATGAACTTAAAAAGGGTCGTAAAATATACTCGGTATTGAATTTTTTTTAATTTTAATTTATTTAAATAACTATTAATAATTACATTTTGTATTTAGATTTTAATTCAAGAAATCCCTCATATAGTTTCTCATGAAACACGTGTTCGATTATTTAGAAAATATGTTTCTCGTGAAAAGTTTGCTTTGGGTGTACATGAATTACATGATAATGAAAATTTCATGCCACCAATAATTACAATACGGAGGTAAAATTAATTTAATGAAGTAATTAAAAAATTTAATTAAAATATTTTACAAACATGCATAGGAATCGAATAATTGAAGATGGTTATACATACGTCTCTGAATTGCCACTGAAACGTTTCAAAGGTGTAATTAGAGTAAAATTCATAAATGAACAGGGATTAGATGAAGCAGGAATTGATCAAGATGGTGTATTTAAAGGTCTGTTTTCATAAACTTGATATTCAATGTTATAGATATTAACAAATTATATTTACAGAATTTCTTGAAGAAACTATAAAAAGAGTATTTGATCCATCATTAAATTTATTTCGTACTACAGATGAACAAAGGTTATATTCATCGCCTTCATCTCATATTCAAGAAAACCATTTGAACTTATTTGAATTTGTTGGTCGCATATTGGGTAAAGCTGTTTATGAGGTAATTATTTTAAACCGTCTATTTTAGTTTTTTAATTTATTAAAATGGAATTAATTTTATTATTCATAGGGTATTGTTGTTTACGTTCCATTTGCATCATTCTTTTTAAGTCAATTATTAGGTCAAACTCAAGAGCTACTATATAGTTCAATGGATGAGTTGCCGTCATTAGACAATGAATTGTATAGAAATTTAACATCTGTTAAACATCATGAGGGCGATGTTTCAGATTTAGATTTGACTTTTTCAGTAGTTGATAATCACCTTGGTGAATTAACTACTCATGATCTTATACCCGGTGGAAGAGTCATATCAGTTACTAATCAAAACAAGTAATATTATTATTTATTATTTGTTTGAATTATTTTATAATAAACATGTTTAATAACTAATAGTATTATCAATATTAATATTAGTGATGTGCCAAACTGTTCAAATCTTGAACCAAACCGAACCATTGACGTTCCGTTTGGTTCAAAATTTGAAACTCGGTATGATGAAAATTTCAAATTAAAGTTCAGTTCAGTTTCGAAAATCCAGGTTTGACCCATCACTAATTAATATTCAGATTTATTTGATAAATACTATAAGTTAGGTATACTATGGTTTTGGATAAATAGTTTATTTAATATTTTCAAAAACGTTAAATGTTTTATAAACCTAATATAAAATTTACTAAATAATATACAATTGTAGAAAAGCAGCAGTGTAATTAAATAGATTGGTAGTGAATTATTTATAATCCTCAGATAAGTTAAATAATATGTTTAACTATTTTTAACATTTTAACAAAGAAAATGTAGCATAATAATTTAATCACAAACTATAATTAAGTTATAAACTATAACGAACCATAATATTTATTATTTAAATTTTAAATTAATGATTTCAGGATTAATTATGTGCATTTAATGGCACATTATGTAATGCATACTCAGATCAAAGCACAAACAGCAGCTTTTATCAAAGGGTTTAAATATGTAATAAATCCTGAATGGTTATCATTATTTTCTACTCCAGAAGTAACAATTTATCATTTATTAAAATTCTTTAATTTTAATAATTAAATTTTTATTATTAGCTTCAAAAACTGATATCTGGAGACAACGCTCCTATTGATTTGCTTGATCTCAGAAGAACCACACAATATTATGGAGGATTTCATGACTCACATCGTGTGATTCTGTGGTTGTGGGAAGTTCTTCAAAAAGACTTCACAGAAAAAGAAAGATCACTTTTCCTGAAAGTATGTGGTACATTTATAAAAATGGAAACGAAAATAAATGTTTTAAATATTTAACTTGCAGTTTGTAACAAGTTGTTCAAAACCACCTTTACTTGGATTTGCATACTTGGAGCCTCCATTTTCCATAAGATGTGTTCAAGTAGCAGACGATGAAGATTTTGGTGACACACTTGGTAAACACAATTACATCTACTTAAAAGTTATGTTTGTTCTATTCATAGTTTAAATTTTTTTTCTTATTTATAGTTAGTGTTATTCGAGGATTCTTCACTATTCGTAAAAAAGATCCAAATCTTAGACTTCCTTCAGCATCTACGTGTTTCAACTTGCTCAAGCTTCCAAACTATCAGAAAAAAAGTATTCTTAGAGACAAACTTAGGTATGCAATTTCATCAAATACTGGATTCGAACTGTCATGAATTTTGTTAGTCCAACAGAATATTTTCATGTTAAATAAATTGAGTTATATAATTGCTGTTGTGTGTACGTTTATGAAACTAAGATGTACGAATTATAATTATCTTATGTGATGTATTTATTTAATTAATCTATTTATAGATATTTGTAATTGTAGTAATGTAAGGACTGAAAATTATCATTATATTTTATGTGGGGGAATTATTGTTTTCCAAGTTATCATTCCAAATAATGAAATAATTTTTAACACAGTTAATATTTGGCTGATTTACATAGATCGTCAAGAACATGCCAGCATTTCAAAATGTAAATTACTTTCACATAAAGTTAATTTTAATTTGCTGACTAAGTATAACATTATGATTTATATGATGTTTTAAATGTCTGTTTTTTTTCACATAGACCACTCTAGAAGTATCAAATTTTTCAATATTTATTATTTCTATTCCATATCATTTTGATTTTAGTATATTATAATTTTTGTTTATAATTTTGCTGTACATTAACTTACATATTATATAAAATTATATTTTGTGATAATTGTTTTATTTTCCATAAGACAATATTTTATTATTTCAAACATTTATTCGATATATATATTTTTTTTTTATTATTCTATTATCAATCATATATGTCTTATCTGAATATACTAAATGTACTTAAAAATTGAGACTGATCATATGATGTTTTGCTGTTGATAATTATTAATAATAAACAGTTCATTTATGTTTGTTTTAAATTTTTTTAATAAACCATTAACATAGCTTTTATTTTAAAGCACACAACTATTATTTACTTATAAGTTAAAACAAACAAATAATAATATATATGCATATTTCTATTTTTGTTTTTCATAAATTTATCATGTAAAGTGTTTTTATAAATATTTTATTGTTTTCTTTTTTACCAAATAAATTAATATTATTGCATTAATATTAGTTTAAGTACTTATGTACTTTAATACAAATATATTATATTGTATTCTGATAGTTTCTCAAATTATGTTATTCTGTAAACATAGTGTTATTAAAATTAATAACTTTAAATTATATGTCGAAATTAAAAAGTAAATACAATAATGTAACCTTATTACTAATTATTTGAATTATTTATTGCTATATAAATTACTAGTATAAAGTATAATAATACTCCAGTAGGTACTTATAATACCTAATATGTAAATGTAATGTGTTTAGACGTAATGCAAAAAACAATTTCATATTGATGTTTGTTTTTTTTTCTGAACAATACAACGGGTACATTTGATTATACCTTATTGATTATTTTGTATGGTAGTACCTGTCTCTTTACCCCTCCGTCGAGCACATCTTATAATTAAGAATAGTCTATACTTGTGAGTATATTATCATTTACTTGACTACAATTATCTTCTTGTCGAATTATAAATTGCTTGACTAAAATATTATATCATGGAAAAACTAATATTAATTATGCGACACTTAATATTTTTTGATTATTGCGTATGAAAAAACGGGTAAGTCTAAACCCTGGTGGATTGTTAAACCATCTGGGTCCCAGTACTGTAGAAACGTGGTTTGGCGGTTCATTGACCGGGGCCCCACGTTCCAATTTCTAAATATGGGCCCATACTTAAATAAACTAATATAAGAATTGGTCCAGAACAATGTGATATCAGAGACTTCATAAATGTCATTATTCAAAATGGCATGGCTTGTAGTTTTCCAGATGTGTGAACTGCATGTTTAATATTTCCTACGTTTATGCCTTATGGTAACTGTGGTCTAGGCTGAGAGGTCATTTTCAAAACTGAAACCCATTCAAAATTATTTAAGAAACTGAATGTCTCAAAATAAACTTAGTAATATTGCTATTCTCAATAAAGAAAGAAGTAGAACTGATGAACTAGATAGTGAAAAAATAATTAACAATTTCGCTAATGTTAAAGCCAGAAAAAAAAGGTGGGTAAGTGGGTGTCGCTCTGCTGTACAGAAGGTTACAAGTGGGTCACTAGTGAATGGTGTTAAATTTGAATTCAATGATAAAATATTATTGTATAGGTAGGAAAAACGATTCTGAGCGAAAACAGTCAGTCAACCTATGATATTACTAAGTATATTTGATGATATTATTCTGAATAAAGTAATTTATATATTTAGGTAGGTACCTATTTATGTGGACCCTTGTTTAAAATTTTCAATCCTTAGCTATAAAAGTTGAACATTTTATGAATTTTTAACTACAAAATAATTATTAAATTTTGTCAAAATTTGAACTTTAAATGCTTATAAAAAAAAATTGTGCCTATGTAATTTTAATATTTTCAACTGCTATTGTAACAATATATCAGGAGCCTTGCATTAAATTTTAACGCTTTTTACCAAACAAATAAAATTTTTTTGATATTTATAGAAAAAAAAACTAAGAAAATTGAAAACGGACATGTCCGTAAACAGCTGAAAAAGAGTCAAAAAATTTTCAAAACTTTATGATGTATAGAAAATGAAAATATAAACATCCATTGACATTGTCATGTATCTACAGTTATTCGTTTTTGAATAACAATAAAATAACAAAACCGCCACATGAGAAATCGAGTGGATATCCAATATTGGAAAAGTATGAACTCATAAAAGTTAATTTGTTTTTCCCGGCGCTTGTGAAAACTACTGGGAAATTTAAATTTTGACCTCCCCAATGCACCAACGATATTCACTTTCCAATCGAACACGATACTGAAGTCGAAAATCGAAGCATTATTTCGACTACTTATCGTGTACACAGATACAAAAAAATAAAAAAAACACACATCATTGTAAAATCAATACATTCATCGTTTCACTCAGAATCTAAAAGACTACCTAATAAAATTGGAAACTGAAATTTTCCTAAACAGTTCAAAACAAAACTGAATATTTTGAAAATTTTATCGTGTATAAAAAATACAAATATAAACAACCACTGAAAATTGCATGTATATACCCTTCATTTGTTTTAAAATTACACCAAAAACCCAAAATTGATTTTCTCAAAAACCAGTAAAAATTCCAGTTTTTCCTTAATTTTTATGTTGTTTTTCCCGGAGCTTTTGAAAACTATAATTGTAATGTAAATTTTAGAAACTTCATTGACCTATAGCAGTTGAGGCGTATTAATAAATTATTAGGTAATAAAAAAAATAAAAAAAAACATAATATACCTATGCATTTTATTATATTATTTTAGGAAATAAAACGAATTGGCTACACAAACCTAATATGCGTTGTTTTCGTTGTCCAGGAAATATTCAATATGTAATATGTTTATTATACGTTGTTCCGATTGTGAATTTTCGTCTTCAGTATTGTTTTAATTTCGTACAAATTATTTTCTGGTAAAAAAAAGTTATTTTAGTGACAATTTACAACAATATTTTATAAATAAAAACTCAATTTGTGTATACATATTTTGTTTTTTAATTCTAAAATAATTTAAATGAGGAACCACGGTACCTACTATTGATGTAGGTACCTACAACGACGACTAGCTACAACTTCGGAAGTTCGGATAGATCATGAACGTGCCATCATCTGTGGCAATTTCTCACAATTCACATAGTATCATCGTTAAAACCAATAAATTAGACTTTCATATAGGAACGATGAATGCATTGGCTTTACAATGACATGTGTTTTTTTTAAATCTATTTTTTAGTTTTTATATCAGAAAAATAAAAATAAAAAATTGCAGACATGTATTTTTCAAAAAATATTTATAAATATTTGAAATTGTCTACTTATTTTAGTAACATTTTATTTGTGATTAAAAAGCTTGAAAATCCAATATAAGATCCTAATAATTTTACAAGGTTTTTAATCTGTTCATATAGGTAACAGATAAACAATATAGAAAATACATAATTTTACCTACTACAGTGGTAGGTACCTAACTATTTTTTTTTCAAGCTGTTTAACTTCAAATATTTACGTACTTGTAGTCTGTTAAATTACATATTGAAAGAAAAAATAACGATTTTAGTAAGTCTGTAGGTACCTATTAAAAAAAATATTATTCCTTGGGACTTCTAACTTTTTGTCATTGTCTACGTATATATAAGTATGTTATCTGTTATAAAAAATTCTGACAGTGTAATATTGTTTACGAATTCTAATCGTAGTGTGTAGTCGTAAGGTTGCATGCATACCTAATGTTTATTGTAATATCAAGGTAGTATATTTTTTTTCATACACCACCCCACCTATCTTGTAAATGGATCTCTGTTGAGCCACTTTGAACTCTTAAGTTAAATCAAAACATTTAATTTATTATATAATATTTTATAAGATTTATAATCACATAATATTATATGTGCTTTACCTAAGAAGTATAATGAATAATAACAAAATTTAAATATTTATCTCGTGTAACGAATAATACTGTTTGCAATATTACCTAATCAAAAAGGAACTTCGATTTTAGAACATTTTGAAATTAAAAGTCAATAAACACCAAAAAGTGTTTATTTTATATTTTAGTTGTATTGGCATACATAAATATAGCCAATGTCAGATACAAAAAATATGTATGATCTGATGATCTGGTTAGGTTAGGTATGGTCAGGAGAACTGTAAAAATAAAATTATTATATTTTCAAATTTCGAGATACAAATACAAGATACATATAAGATACAAATGTTAACGAAGTATAAAAATACATATAAGTATTTGACAAAATTAATAGTTTATACAATATGAAAGTTTATGATTTAAAAATATGATTAATTTAATGATTTCAAACATTAAGTTATTAATAATATTATTAAATATAAACGTTACCGGCAAACACGTAAATTAATAGGAATTAACGTTAATGATTATAGCCAATAACGATATTTCCTATCAAATTTGACAGTACTTAGGTATACGATATTGACTAGAAAATTTTTTTTTTTTTTTTGGTTTTTTATTTGAGTTAAACAATCTATACAAATTATGTATAATAAGCTTAAGTGTTAACAAATTAAGATTACAGCCAAAAAAACAT